CAAACGCAGCCGCAGTCTGGCTGCTTTAAATACCGCCTTGTCTCATGTGCTGGCAGCCTTTTTCCTTGGAGGGGACGATAATTTGGCCCTGCAGCGTACGAGTCGGGGAGTGATTTGCAAATGCCGGTGGGATCCGAGCCCGTACTCAGCACTGAAACACCTTTGTAGATTTATCTTATTTATAACAGGACTGGAAGCAGACATGGTGTGGGGATTTCCTCGCCAAAGAAGAGCTAAAAGGAGGGCTGTGTACACCTTTGATCATCTCTGGATAGCGCGGGAAACGGGATAGTTACTCTCTAACTCTGCATCTTTTCTTTCTTGAAAGAAGATAAACCGGACTCGGCAGCAGCGGCGGCACTGAATTTGTCACCTAACGGCATTGGGAGTATTAACATGTCGGTGGAGATTAACGGCACAATTTATGCTGGTGAGAAAGAACCGCTCCCGGGGATGGGTGGAGAGCTGGGCTGGTGGCGCAGGGAAGGACGTGGGGAGGGTGGCGTGCTCCCGGGGCTGCTCTCTGCCGAAGCACCGCGCACACAGACCGTCCGGCTTGGGAAGTTCAGTAGGAGATGATTTCTTTTTCTCTCTTTTTCCCTTTGGTCCCAGGCAGACAAGATGAATGCCTCTTCTTTGTCGTGGTTGTTAGCGTTTTTAAAATTGAAGGGAAGGGACTTGTATTGAAGCGTTGGCAGGAAGGAGTATTATCCCTCTCCTGCCGAGAGCGGCTTTACTCAGCTTTTCCTCGCACCCGTTGTCCCCTGTGCTCTGCTCAAGCCGTTTCGCTTCTGCAGGCCGCAAACACGTCCTTGGAGAAACCTCCAAAGGTGTTGGAGCTATTTGGGATCTTTCAGTCCTCTGTAAGCACAACATCCCTGTGACAGAGGCTGCCAGAACAAGTCCCGGGGGACCCCTTCTTGTATCGTGGTGCTCATTGCCCCTCTGATCTGTCTCCAAGCCTGCTTGTCTTACACCGAGCCTTTCTGTTGAGATCTTTGGGCTGGGATAGACTGCTCTTTGCTCTGTACCCCGTCCTCCTCAGCCATGCCTCCCCGTAGCCCCAGTAACCCTTCTCTTTGCCTCCCCGTGCCTTCCAGGAGTGCTTTTTGCCCAGAAGCCAGTCGTCCATCTCATCGCAGGCTCCGGCACTCAAAGTTCCTGCAGCAGCAGCAGCAGCTCCCACTGCTCTCCCAGCCCTACCTCATCCCGGGGGACCCCCAGCGCAGAGCCCTCCACCAGCTGGTCTCTCTGACGGCCGGGCGAGCCTGCTGTCTCTCACACTGGCCCCCGGCAGCTCTTCTTCCTCCCTGCGTTCAGTGGGGAGCGAGCCGGGACGGAGTCGCACAGATTACCTCATCTCAAGGAACCTGCTTTTGTGGTTGGCCAACGGCAAGATGATGATGATGCTGAATCCTTTCCATGCCAGCGAGTTTTTCTTCATCGTCTGTTTGTCCAACCTTTTTCTTTGTTCTCCCCTTTCTTCCTCCCTTCTGCTTTTTGTTTTCTTCCTCCTCCTCCTCCTCCTCCCAGGGTTTGCTGTGTTCCTGTTGGGGGGTGGGACGTGGAGGGGGGGCACGCCTGGCGTTTTTCAATCAGGGATCGTCTCTAGGAGCTGCAGGTTGAGAGATGGCTGAGACGTCACCAAGGCAGGTGGAAAGAGCTGGAGTTGGGGCAGGGCGACTCGGTTCTCCTCGAACCGGTAGCCACAAGGACTCTTCCCACAAAACAACTCCGTGTATCGACAATCCTAAGAGCCGGCGGGGTGCCTTGCCCCTGTCCTCCCTTGGCTTCCTTGCTTTTCTTCTTCGGGCTCTGTCGTGGTCCGGTGTTCCTATGTCCTCCCCTAGAACTTGGCTTGTGAGCCTCCTTCCCTCTCTCCGAGGCCTTGGCAAGAGGGGAAGGACTTTCTCACCGCTACGTTTGACCCGTAGACACATTCAAAACCTCTCAATCAGCTGCTTCGTTCTCCTGCCTGGTGCTGGGCCCCTTCCCTACTGTTGCCTTCAGGCTTTCAGCCAAGTTTTAAATGCCCTCGACCTTGTCTCTCTCTCCCCTCGAGGAACTCATCCCACTGACATTTACCCTGACAGCCTGAACTTAATTTTGGCTTGGTGTTGTGATCCTCGGCCCCCTCAACACAAAAGGGCTGTCATTGAGGTTGATCCAGGCTTCCTGGAGCGACTTCCTTCTCGTCAGGTGTCTTTCAGTAGCCCCTGGAAGCTCTCCACATCCGTACGCTGAGAAAATAGAAGGCGATATTTGAAATCTTAATTCCGTGGGGCTGTGGATGGGGTGTAGGCGTTGCGGGTAACGTTAGGAGGTCTTTTCCTCGGTCTCTGAACAAGCCTACGGACACCCGGTCCCCTTCAAATTGCACGTGAGCAAAAAGAAAGTGGCGCGCTCTCGGTTGCGAGAGACCTTTTTGCTGTCCTGGGTGGAAGCAGAGAGAAGGAAACCGAGCCCTTCCTTGCCCTTTCCCCGCAAAGCTCCGGTTTAAAGCAAGCGAGGGTTGGCCACGGCTCTCCCGCAGAGCCGACCGAGCTGGCTTAGTGGCTAACACAGACCCGGCTCGGGTGGCCTCGCTCTGTCCTCTCGTCCTGCTGGCCTTTCCCACGCGTGCTTTCCCCAGCACCATCCATCCTGCCCTGGTGACGTCCTTCCCATCCTCTGGGCCCAAGTCAGGTTTTTTTGAGCAGATGAAATACCTCAGATATGTTCTTGTTGTTGGGATTGGGGGTTTTTTTTTGTTTGTTTTGGGTTGGTTTTTTTTTTTAACCTCTTCAGGAAGTATTGGCATATCTTATCGCTTGTTTTTTATATGTGGTTTTGCTGACATTGTGTTTTATTTTATTTTTTATTTTTAATGGTATCACCAAAGACAGAAAAGCCGAGCAAGCAGCAGTGGCTTCCCCCCATCCTTCAGGCTAGCAGGAGATGAGCCGAACAGCATTGTCCCAGGACATGTGCATGACACAGGAGGACAGGGGGGAGGTAGGAAAAGAGGGCGAGAGCCGCCGCTGACTTAAAGATCCGTCCTTCGTATTGGACACGAGGGTGTCTCCAAAGTCCCTGTTATTTTTCCAAGCTCCAGGATCTGTGCTTAACATCCCTGTGCTGCCAGAAGCCGTTTACTTTATACTACTGAAAAGAGCATGGCTTTACAAAACACCGGGCCAAACATCACCCCAGCAAAAGCCCCATCAGCAGCCGGAGGATTGGGCTTAAAACGTACATCGAAAACTAAATGAATAATCCTTCTAAACTCTCAAACGTCAGGTTCTCCTTTTTAATCCCCCAGCACCGCTCGGCTGGGCTGCTGCTTTCTCCTCCAGAGCTTGTGCAAGCCGCAGGCGCGGGACCTCGTTGCAAGAGGCTCTTTGCTCGCTATACGTTAAGTTTATACACTATGATTTGAGTTATCGCAGCGCGAGGACTTGGTGGGAGGAAGAGTGCTGGTGGCTGTGAGTGCACGTGTCCTGAGAGAGATGCTGCTCGGAGAGGTCGCCTCTCCGGTTGCTTTTAGCTGGAGGAAGGACCACGGGGAAGCCGAGCTGCTCCTCGGCTGCGGGGCGTTTGCTCGGCAGATCCCGCAGGCCTCCACGGCATTTCATCCTCACAGAGGATTTTCCAAGCTCATTCAGATCATTTTTCTTTTGTTTGGTTTTTTTTTTCTGTTGTTGTTTTTTTTTATTTTTCTTTTGGTTGGTTTGTTTTTTATTTGGGGGTGGGTTTGGGGGCTGTTTCCTCCGAGTGGGACTGGGGCACTTTTTTTTTTTGCTTTTCCTTACGCTTTCTTCTCTGGTCCTGGGGAGCAGAGGTTAGTAATGGGTGGTTTTGCTTACGTATCACATGCTAACATTGTGTTTTCTTGCACAGAAAGGCACTCGAATCACTGAACTGCTAAACAGCTTTGACACTACTAGAGTATTAATGTTTATAAGCTTTACACAACTAGACTGGAACTAGACAGGGACTAACAGATTGTTTTGTATCCAATTCAGGGAAAGAATCAAGTCGGGATGCGTAACAGATACCTCAGTAAAAAAAATAAGCTGCAACATTAAGCTGGTCCTTTCTCAGTACGTGATGACGAGGACCAGCCATTCAGACTGTGAAGAGAGTAACCCTTTCCCTAAGCCCGGCTTTGATACTGGTAGCTGGCTTAATCTGAGCTCCAGATCTCCTGCTGAGCTGCCAGGTTTTGGGGACAGGGTTATGGAAACCAGCAGCAGAGACGGGACAGAGGAACTGGGGAAGGCTGAGGAAAAGGGGTGGTGGATCCCCCCCCCCCCCCGCCCCACTCCAAATCTCTCCCCGGCTCCGTTTCATTTCACTCGACCGTGTTCGATTGTATAGTACTCAGGGGTTTTGATACTGCGGGTAGGACTGTTCCTCGGGTGAAGTGCTCCGCTTTGCAGTGCGGCTAATAAAATACTCTTTCAACTCCAGACCAGCGAAGGTTTCACAGCGAGCAGCCAAGAAAAAAAATTTAAA